ATACTATTAGGAGTGAGGAATTTTGGGATTGATATGGATAACATTCTTGCAATAACAAAACCAAATTTCTTGCTAATTAAGTTTTGTGATGTCGAAGGATCCAAAATGGGGGAAATCTATGAAAAAATGGATAACATGCTAGGAGAATTAAAAGATATCATGGCTACAAACCCATACGCTTCGGACTTTCCAAAAGTAAAGGCTATTGTTTTAGCTAGGTGGGAGAAGATGACTATTCCTTTGCACTGTTTGGGTTTTGCTTTATCCCCACGATTTTATGATGTCTGCTATCTCAAGAAACTAGCACCCGGTGGAGTTGCTAGAAAAGCTCCAAGTTTAGACAAAGAAGTTGTGCTAGGTGTCATGGAGGCTTTTAAAAAAAATTGGTGAAAACCAAGAAGAACAAAATCTCTTAAGAGAACAATTTGCAAGGTTTCACATGAAGAAATGATTATTTTCTATGGCGACAGCTCAAATGGATGCGGTGACTATGGAGGCCATCGATTGGTGGTCAACATACGGTTCAGAGACTCCTGAGTTAGCGGAGGTTGCAAAAGAAGTTCTGTCACAACCTATAAGTAGTTCCTCGGCTGAGAGGAATTGGAGCACTTACTCTTACATTCACAGTGTGAAGAGGAATCGTTTGAATTGTAAAAGGGCTGACAAGTTGATATTCATTCATTCAAACATTCGTCTTCAATCAAGATTTTCCGAAAGTTACAAAGTTGGCCCGAACAAGAAGTGGGATATTAATCCCGAAAGTACGTATGTGGAAGGGTCAAGTGCAAGACTCGATGTGCTACAATGGGAAGATTTAGAAGAAGATGTTGCTCCAAATGATAAAGGAAAGAGGCCAAGGATTGACTAGTTTGCTGCACTTTCATGTTTTGTTGAAGTTTGTTTAATGTTTATTAACTTTATTTCTTGTTTTGTTGAAGTTGTTGCTGGAATCCTGAAACTTTGTTTACTGTGTTATATCTTTTATTGTTGTTGCAAACATTGTTAAGTTTGTTTAATGTTATTGAAGTTATAGAAGTTAATTGTTTAATATTATATTAATTATATTTATAGTTTTATAATTTATACTTAGTAAATTCTATATGTTATGGTTCACTGTACCAAAAACAAAGGGTACAGATTACCGCGTACCGAAGAAGCCTACCCCCCGCGTATCGGATTTCTAATTTTGGCGATCCGCGTTCCCGTTTTCGTACCGCGTACCGCGATCCATGTGACTATGATCCTGCCTTGCCTCTATATAAAAAAGTTGAGCGAAACACCCATGAGTGGTTTTCTGGATCATTTTCCGAAAATTCTTTCCACTCATGACTTTCAAATTTACCTCCTCCGAATCTACATGAATTTGTGATCTTTTTCCCTCCTTCATGATATCCAAGCAGTTTTTCTTAAGGTGGAATGTTACAGGGTCATGTTTCCACATCCAATCATGTCCTAGAATCACATCACATCCCCTTAAAGGAATGATTCTTAAATCTGCTTCAAGCTCGTGCCCTTGGGTTACCCACAAAAACCTACTGCATCTCTCTCTACTGATGGTTCTGTCTCCATTAGCTACAGTGATTACCCAAGGAGGAGTGGATTCCAGATTGCTTCGGAGCTCCCGTGCAATTGCTTCATTCAAATAGCTGTGCGTACTTCCACTATCAATCAAAATAATAATCTTCCGTTTATTCACCATTCCTGTTATTTTCATGGCATTGCTCGCTCTACATCCATGGAGGGCGTGCAAACTAATCTCACTGTCAGCCGGATAATTTGATTCAAGTTTTTCTAGCCTCTCTTCTTCTTCTTCTTCAAGTGAAACCCCACTCATTCTCGTTCATGACTAACTGGAACAAGTTGGAGCATTTGTGCCCAGGGCTGTATTTTTCATTTCAAGTGAAGCATAACCCCTTTTCCTTCCTGGCGTTGTACTCCTCTCTTGTTAACCTTTTCACTGGAGGCACATTATTTTCCTTCCCCATACTCGAACTATTTTTTCAGTTTGCCGGACTGCTCATTTTACCTCCCAGTGAAGGGGTCACCACTGGTTTCGGCCCCATTCTTCCCTTCTTACTCCAAATTTCTAGTGTATTTTCCAGCAACTTGGCCTGATTGATAGCCATGGTCAGAGACCTCGGCTTAAACAGCTGCACAGGGGCCCTTAACTCTTCCTTGAGTCCCTTTAAGAAGCAAGATATATAAAAAACCTCTGTACTAGCGACTTCATTTCTTCAAAAATTCCCACATAGCTCGTTATATCAGACCTCTGCATGAGCTGTGTAAATTCAACTACAATATCCTCATGTGCAGGGGCTAAAAATCTTTCCAGCAACAAAAGGCAAAATACTTCCCAATTTATATGTTGTCTCTCCTCAACATATTCATAAAACCACAAATCAGCAATCCCAGTCATATGATAGGAAGCATGATGTACCTTGGTGAGTTCTTCCAGGGGATATATTTGAAAAAATCTGTTAGCCTTGCGTAACCACAAGCGAGGACAGTGGCGGAACCAGCCCGGAGATCTTGGAGGGGCACATATTGAGAAAGGAAAGGTCTTCGGCAAGGCGGGTGGCTTGCTGTGACCCTGGATTTCCGGTCTCCGACAAGTTTGGTGGTGCTAAGAGGAAGTGCCAAAGAGACTGCGACGTTATGTACTATGAGTCATATGGAAGCTGCCGTGTCCGCCTTCTAAGCTGTTGTGCATGGCTTCCGAAAGGCGGCAAGAAGAAAAACTTTTTATTTTAATAACATTGGATAAAATACATGTATATTATTAACAGAGTTTCATCTAACAAAATTATGACTACTTATATTTTTAGATAAAAATATATCTAGTCATTATGTACTAATAATTGAACAAGGGTCACTATAATGTATTTCAGAGTGACCGTTAAGAACTAGTCACTGAACATGTAAATTTTGTAGAAAATTTTAAAATAAATTATATTTTTTCTTTTAAATTTAATTTAGTACTCATGCAAAAGACTTTTGGGATGCAATATTTTATAATCGAAGCTGCACCATATAATTGTACATTTCTCCGTATCAAAGTTAATCCACCAATTTCAACCCCACTCCAGTACCCCACAAAGTCCAGCAAATCTATCCAAAAATTTCTTATCCGTATTCCAAGAATGGGCAGCAGCCAAGACGTCAAACTGCAGGGCTGGATATATATACACGTATATATATACTCATTACTCCATATGTATAAACAACCGCCAGGCCGCAGGGGCACAAGCCCCTCCAGGCCTCTACATAGTTCTGCCGCTGAGCGAGGATTACTCCCATTGAACTCCGGAAATTCAACCCTCAGTGCCGGAATCTGCATATGGTTGGTTGAGTTTCTGAGGTGAGGAGGTGTATATACCGTTTTGTGCCCTATGTCCTCGCTAATCCCTTTCTCTTTCTCACTGGCAAACTGAGCTTGTTGCAACGCCATCATTGTATCTAATTGTTGTTTAATTTCTGCGAAGCCCTCATCAACTCGGCCCAGGTGTTCGCTTACTGCTGCGAACTCATGTCGTATACCCTGTAATTCTTCCCCGTGTTTTCTCTGAATTTCAAATAAATCCTTCATTCGGGTCTCCGTCGTCATCTCTTGAGTCACCTTTCCATCAATAAGCCTGGTCTCTAATACCAAATGTTGTGACCATAGTTACATAAATCGCTGAAGACGTACCGAAACGCGGTACGAAAGCGTTCCAAACGCTACAGGGATCGGCGTCAGATACGGTTCCCAGGTCGTTTCCAATCGCTTAAGAATTCGTTCGCAACCGCTCTCCATGTCGTTCGCAACTGGTCTCCAGGTCGTTCGCAAATGCTATCAACAATCGCCGTTTCCTTTCTGCGTACACTACACATATGAAGACCCCAAGCGTTTGATTTTAAACATTCCTGAAGACCCAAACGAACCTATTCGTTTTCTGCTCTAGGTCAGGGTCAAACCAGGTCACCAGAGTACCAGACTCTTCGTATTCCTACGCCACTTTCTCTTCCCAGTGTCGCCTATTTAATGGAGTGAAATTTCTTTTTCTGTTATTAAACTTTTAATTAATGTTTATGTGTTTTCAGTTGGGTCTAGAGTTTCTATGTGGCACAATTTTAATGTTGTTTATTTGTTTAATGCTATGAAATCATGTTATGAAATCTGTTTTTATTTAATTTTATGAAATCTTTAATTCGGTTTTATTATACGTACTAGTACCAAAACATAAGGTACATCGTACCGAACGCGTACCGGAATGAACCTACCCCCCTCCGAACCGGATACGCCAGATCTAGCGAACCGCGTTCCCGTTCCCCGTACCCGTTTCGAATCGTTGCGCGAACCATGTGACTATGGTTGTGACCCGAGACACCAACTGATTACAGCAATATGAACTTGATAATAAAGAGAGTTCAGAGATACACTTGTTCAACTCAAAGTAATTAGAAAAAACAACAAACAAGGTGAAAATATCGGTAGGACTGCACCAGCATATGAATTGGCCACACCTGGAATAGAAAATGCATTCTTAGTTAGGGAAGAAGTTGCTTAATGAACAGAGGATGAGTAAGAGGAATTACCTCATTACACATCATGCCCGTTTCTTCTTCTCTTCTCCTGTATAAGAAGGTTGTTCGGAAGGTGCATGAGTTCGTTCAAGCCATTGCAGATTTGCTAGTGCAGTAAAATTAACAACTAAATAACCCATGGTAAAAGGTATTCATTATGTGTAAATATATATTTTAAACGGAATAGGGAACGGCCACTACATAATGCTTAGGGGAAGCTAATTATTTCTGTACTTTATATTCTACCAGTGTCATAAGCATACCTATTACCAATTTCATTTTGTTCATATTTTATAAAAAGAAATCTAAATATGTGTATTTTTTTAAGTTGTTTAATTCACATCCTTTTAGACTGTTAGATAGTTTACATTTTGGATACATTTTGATTCTGTCTAAGTCTCACATACTCACAACTGGAATTTGCTAACAAATTTCAGAGACTGCTTTGAAGCTTGACACATTGGTTGGTGACCTTGAGGATGCTGTGTCTTCAACTATAAACAGAACTTTGAGAAGATACCCATCATCAACAAGTTCAGAAGTGAGTTGCATTCATGGGGAATTGGAATTATTTGTTCATTTTTCTGTTGCAAGATCTTTCATACTTTCCATTTTTTCTATATTTTCTCTTTACTAACAGGACATGCAAGCTGTTGCAATCACCAGTCTTAAACTAACTGAAGGCACTCTAAGATTGATTTCGAAGTCCCAACCTCAATGGACACAACTTGTATCCGCTGTTGATCATAGGGTTGATCGAGCTTTGGCCATGTTAAGGCCTCAGGCAATTGCAGATCACCGCTCCCTTCTTGCTTCTCTTGGATGGCCACCACCTCTATCCACTTCAAAGTCATCTGGACTAGAAACAAAAAAGTCAATAAATGTCCATAATCCACTTGTCACAATGCAAGGGGAGCTTAAGCAAAAGTATTGTGAAAGCTTTCTTACACTGTGCAGTTTACAGGAACTGCAGAGACAGAGAAAATCTCGCCAAATAGAGGGGATTGATAGGTATGTAGACCTACACCAGCCACTCTGGGCCATTGAAGAGCTTGTCAGTCCCATATCAGTTGCTTGTCAACAACATTTCTCAAAGTGGATTGATCAACCAGAGTTTATCTTTGCCCTTGTGTATAAGGTTACTCAAGATTATGTTGATTCTATGGATGAATTATTGCAGCCACTTGTTGACGAAGCTATGCTCTCTGGATATAGCTGCAGAGAAGAATGGATTGCTGCAATGGTGACCTCCTTATGCATGTATTTGGTCAAAGAAGTATTCCCAAGGTATACTAGTTTGTCGGATGAAGAGGGTGTAACTGGACGTAGATCGAATGCTAGAGCATCTTGGCTATTTCTCATCGACCAGATGATAGGATTTGACAAGAAAGTGCAGTCACTTGTTTCACAATCAGGAATCTCTCTTTCTTTGCAGGAAGATGGACTACAAAAGCTTTCTTCACTTTCTGTATTTGGTGACAGACCTGATTGGCTTGATCTATGGGCTGAAATCGAACTTGATGACTCACTTGATAAATTGAAACCTGACATAATGGATGAAAGGAATTGGTCAAATGAGGTTCAAGATGCTGCTCTTCTTTTGGGGCAAGGGGGCACCAAGTCACCTGCAATAACCAGTTCCTTTCTTCGCTGTTTGTCAGCTGTCATTGATAGATGCCGGTCACTTCCAACCGTTCCATTGAGATCAAGGTTTTTGAACTTGGTAGGACCACAAATAATAGATAAGTTCTTTGATTCCATAGTCCTCCGGTCCCAAGAAGCTGAAGGGCTGACAGCACTGACAGATGATGCCGCTTTGACTAAAGTTGCAAGGTGCATCAATGCTTCTCGTTATTTTGAGGCAGTTCTAAAAGAGTGGTGTGAGGATGTATTCTTTTTAGAGATGAGACTTGACTGCGAAGATCTATTGGAAACTCTAGTTGAGAGTTGTACTAGCCATGGGGAATCCCCTGGAAATGGATTTTTTTATTGGGAAATAAAGAAGCTGGAGGAGTTCAGAAAGGAATGGGCTGAGGTTCTGTCAACTGTTGTTTTAAGGGGGTTCGATGTGTGCTGCCGAGAGTACCTGAAGAACAAGAAACATTGGCAGGAAAAGGAAGAAGGACATATAGTGTCCCAATCATTTGTCACCGCTTTAGATTATCTTCAGGGAAAAATGTCAGTACTTGCTGAGGTTCTGAACGAGATAGATTTTGTTGGGGTCTGGAGAAGCCTGGCATCCAGGATTGACACTTTGGTTTTTAATGGTGTTCTTTGGAGCAACACCAAGTTTTCTGATGGGGGAGTTGAGAGGCTTGATAATGATATGGGTGTTTTGTTTGGTGTGTTCAGGCAATGGTGTATTAGACCTGAGGGCTTCTTCCCCAAATTGAGTGAAGGTATTAAGTTACTGAAAATGACAAAAAAACAACTGCAGGATTGTTTAAAAGGAGGGGAAATTTCACTGAAGGAGAATGGGATAAGGCAGTTAACTGTAGCTGAAGCAGAAAAGATTGTAAGAAACAGAGTATAGTTTGCAAGGAACAGGTGACTGCGATAAGGCATTTTACACACTCATGCTATAGTTTGTTTTGTCTCAACATGATTAAATATATTAACGTTCTATCAAAAACTGTATCTCTCTTCCTAAAAGAAAGTCTCATACACGTTTTTGGTGAAAAATGAAGAGTCTTTTGTTACATGCAACTCTTGGAGTTGCATATTTAAAAGAAATTATTATATTTTGGAATATTTCATTCACATGCAACCAAGGAAACATGTCTAATTAACACATATAAATACGTTTTTAAATATGTTTTGTGAATAGCCACATCACCAATATGACCTGTTAATCTGATCATCACCTACTAAATTCTAAATTTGATTGTTTTTCTAAAGGTGATGGACTTAATTCGGTGTTTTTCTAGTTGCAGGGTTTAATTGACGTTTGTGATGTACTACGAGGGTCTATTTAACAGTTTTTCCCATAATTTAAACATTAAAAGAGACATAGTATTAACTCATGAGCAGAATACATATGCAGAAGCAGAGTAATGTAGTATTAACTCAAGAGGCAATACAGTAGCCGGTTAAGAGAAGTCCAAGAAGAAAGAAGAAAAGAACTCGCGAGATTAAGTCCAACTCAATCTCTGAGAAGTACATGACACCATACTTAAAGATTAAACAGAAGAGAACTGTAAAGCTGCAGGACACTTATGCGATGAAACCTAATCCCAGAGTCGGATGAAACATATGCCTCATGATGCATGCTTTTTAAAACAAAGTATGTGGTATACGTGACGCCATACTCAGGTATTGTGGCGAAGCCCTTTCCCATGCCAATGGTGAGAAATGGCGATCACTATTTTACCCATCAACTACTCTGGTTGACAGTGGTGTATCCAAAAAACTTGTTGAGAGGGGGCAAATTTACACTAAAATAGTAAAATTTATTCACACATTTCACAAATAGCATATTAAAATATCACATTATGAATATTGTTTAATTAGATGTAGTTCAAATTCTGAATGCACAAGTATGTACAAAAAGACCAGTTTATATTACTTGTGTAAATATGCAATTATCGAACAAAATTAAAAATTCCCTTAATAGGAGTTCAAACAAAATAAAAAATTTCAAATAGGGGTGCCATTGGTTTCTTCCCAAAATATGGCTCATGCACTCCCTGACTCATATTTAGGCAATTTTTATTCTTTTATTCTTTTAATAGGATTACATAAATCCTGTTTACTCATTTCATTTTAGAATTTAACCATTATTCTAATTGTTGTAGCCAATTTTTTTCTCTTCTCGGCGCCTTGTTCATTGTGGCATTTGGCTATTGTCATTTTCATCAGGTATGATAAATTAACCGTTTTAGCTTCTCTTATTCATTGTTGTTTATCCAACGATGGATACGTAACCATGTTCTTGATATCTACTGTTGGCCAATAACAGCTATCTAATTAAATAATCTGCAAACATTAGCTTTTGGAAATAAGGTTATGATTAAGAATTGGGTCTCTTTGACGATATCTTGGACACTTTGGGCTATTTAATATGATTTTTTTTATATTTCTAGAGAACAGAAGAACTACTGTTTTTAGTATATGCCAGGTCACACTTCTTTGGATAGGTGAAATGTAGCATTTCAAATAGATTTGTTAGTTCTCCAAAAATATCTACATGTAATACTAGGTAGTACAATCAACTTTTACATTTCATCTCAGTCAATTGAACAACTTCAAGGATACTTCTTATTTTTAGATTTAGCAACCACATACTTGTGTGTTTGCTAGAGAATTTTGAAGATTACTATATTAATTATCTTGTGAATTGAATCCAATTCTGATCCATGAGCATTAGGTTCTTATTTTTGGTCCTCAGCTATCTTTTTTTACTTTTGGTCCTTCCAATCATTTTTTGTGTATGATGTAAGCAGTAAAGCACATGTTTTCATTGATTTGTAAAATTGGTGTTTGTACATGTATAGCAAATTGTTGAGTTTAATCCAACACGATATAGTAAATATATGTATAAATGTGTATGAACAAGCTATTTTTACGTGGAAACCCGGAAAGGGAGAAAACCACGGGACTTTTTAGGCTAATGTCCAAGCCCTCTCATTCTCATTAGGACTTTCCTCACCATTACATAGTACAATATTCAAGCTCCCATTAATGGAGTTCTAAGCTATTCTAGAGAGGAGGTAGAAAGAAGGTCCCTCTTACATGGAGGCTAAGCTCCCTCTTTATAGACAAAGGGGAAAGGGTGCTCTCCACCCTAATGGGCCAAACGGGCCAATATTGGGCCTAATGGGCCGAAATGGGCCTAGCTGCTCGGGCTCCGTACTGGATAATGTCTTGGGCTCCTGAACAGTAATAGGCCGGGATAATATATCCCAACACAAATCATAGTGATTTGCCCAGAATTTTTTAGTGTATGAATGCACAGTATTTGCAAGTCACAGTGATATATACTCCGTACAACATTGTGTATTGTACAATTATACAATATGCCACAACAGTGTAATGAAACTTCAAAACGGAATATAACACTAGCTAGCAGACATCTGGATGTTATCCTCCCGAGCATGGAACTTAGTTTATGAAAATTCGTAATAAAAATTAGGTTTGAGCATTTCACCAAATATGTTTTTGAGATGTAAAGTAGAAAGGATGTTTTCTTTTCGGTTTCTTTTGGGCTAAAATTTGCTGGTCTGGTTTGAACTGGTGTGATATGGTGAACTTGTAATTAGTGACAATTACCAGTCATATAGTGGTGCTATAAACCAATGTTATTTTAGTTTACCTAAAAGTGAGCATTGAAAAAAGTTTACTTACTCCGTATTTTTTTAGTTTGTAATTTTTTGTACTCAAGGTGATGTGTTAATGGCAATCAGTCTGCTTGAATATTAACTGGGACGGTTTTCACTTTTCAGTCCCCGGCCAGGCCATATCAAACTTCCATAGTCATAAAATATATAAGAACAGACATTTACCAGATCACACCAGTTCAAATTTGAACTTTCATATTTGTGTTATGACTTATGATGTAGATACAAGCATGCTCACGTGCACAATAGTCAATAGATATAGGCTATGTTGCACGGTCTTGGGAGGAGGTAGAGGGGGTCCATCCGTGCCTCAAGCCTCGGCCCACCCCAAATTTGAAAACTCTTCCTTTTTAGTAAAAAAATTTATGCGAAAAAACTTTTTGTACCTGTCCACCTCAACCTTCAATCCTGGTTATGTTTGTGATCACGGGGTAACGGGAAGCATCATCTTTTAATAGAAAAATAATTACTTGGAGAGTTTCTATAGATTTTGTGAAATGTAATACTAGTGAACTTTTTCTTGAAAGTTTTCGTGTTTCATGGAACACAGCTAACATTGTGCACCCATATCATTCCCATAGGAATAAGACACAACGTGACACAAAGATTTAACTATCCTCTTTTTAAGTAAGCTTTAGAATGTTTTCCTTTGACGTTTCGGTTTTATATCTTCTTTAGCTAACGCCTTAAATAGTGATGGCTAGATTATAAATTGTTGAATACCACATTATCACATTGTTATGTTCGATAGCTGCAGTGACACGTATAGTAGTTGATAGTGACATATAGTAACTGAAAGTGTTATAATAAAATGGCAACAATATTCGTAGTGCCAATTTATGTGCACTACTAAATTATTGTGCCATAGTCATATAGGCTGGTATCAATGTTCTTATTTGCAAAAATAAAGTTGGAGGTAGGTATCTTACTAGCTTATATTATACGGAGTACGTAGTATATGGAATTTATCTAGGCTTATTTGTACCGAAGTTTGTAACAATTTCTTGATAAAGATTTCAATCATTAATGATATGTTTGTCTCCATTATTCATGTCTGTGTTGCTCCATTTTTTTTCGAGATATTACCTGAAATAGGACTAAAAAAGTTTGAAAATTTCAAAATAGGACTGTCATGTTTTTATTCCCAAAATATGACTAATTACTGTCATGTTTTAACAGTACCATACTTCAAACTTGACAGTATTTTTCAAACTTGACAGTAATTACTCCTATTTTAGCAATAAAAAACATGTCAGTCCTATTTTGGAATTATCAAACTGTTTTAGTCCTATTTCGGGAACTTTCCCTCTTTTTTCCCGATTTTGTCATTAGAGTTCTCACAGCCTTGAGTGGCAATGACAATTCGGGCTGGTTTGGTAAATGGCTTATCAGCCATATTTTGGCTTCTTTGACCATAATTAATGTTTTGATCTTGCAAACAGTCATAACCGGGCAGTGTTTGGAATTATGGGTGGACTCGGGCCGGGTGGCCCGACCCGGAACCGGCCCGACCCGCCACTGTTCCGGCCCAGTGGCCTGGTCAGGGACCGGTCCGGGTAGGCCCGGCCCAAGGTGGTTCCGGTCCGGGCTCGGGCCCCTCAAAACGTGAACCGGCCCGGCCGGTTCAGGCCCGGTCTGGGCCATTTTAAATTTTTTTTTTTTTGATTTTTTTTTAAGTTTTTGGATTGGGCTGGGTATTTTGGGCCATTTGAGGTGGTTTGGGTGTGAGGGGGGTTGGGGGTTAATTAGGAAAAGGCAAAAAAAAAAAAAAATATACCCGAGGCCCGGCCCGGCCCAGACTCGGCGGTTACACGGGCCGGTTCCGGGCCTTCCAATCCAGGACCGGAGGCTCGACCGGGCCTAGGCCTGCCCCGGCCCCGGGCCGAACGGAGTCCATCCATATTTGGAATCAGCTTTTGGATTTTCATCCGTTTCTACAATTCTACGTACCCTTGTATCGATGGGCAGCGTGAGTGGGTCGTGACATTCTACTTGGCACTGTTGTGATCATCATGCCATTAAATTAAAATGATTTTTTTTTAATTTATTTCATACAAAAATATATCAAAACTCAGGGGTTAGGACTTAGGCGCATAGAGGCATCTCGAGATTCTTACATATACCTAGGGATGGCCTCGGGCCCGGCTGGTTCACGGTTCAGATATGGGAGGCCCGGAACTGGCCCGGGTAACCCCCGGGTCCGGTTCGGGCCGGGCCTCGGTCCAATCTTTTTTTTTTTGGCTTCTCCTAATTTTAACTCCCAACCCTCCTCCCTCACCCCCAAACCACCTCAAATGGCCCGAAATACCCAGCCCAACCCGAAAACTTAAAAAAAAAAAAAAAAAAAAAAAAAAATTGGCCCGGACCGGGCTCGAACCGGCCGGGCTGGTTCACCATTCCTAGGGCCCGAGCCCGAACCGTATGACTAGCGGGCTGGGTCGACTCGAACCGCCCTAGGGCCCGGTTCCCGGGCCGGGCCGGTTCAAACAGTGTCCGGTCCGGGCCGGTTCCGGGGCGGGCCGCCCGGCCCGAGTCCATCCCTACATATACCATAGCTAAAGCAAAGTGTCTCAAAACCCACTATAGCTACTTTTTTAAAACGTGGGTTCAAATATTTGCAAAAAAAGAAAACTCGGTTCAGATTATACGTTGGCACATAGTACTTCTTCATGTTTATTAGTTGGGATGCATATTGTTTTAAAATGCTAATTCATATGATTCAAATGAAATTAAAATATTTCTTTTTAATTTCAGGTGTTTTGCATGTTGTTTTATTTATATGAATATGAATGATTTAATAACAAATAGCTAAAAATAAGAATAAGGGAAAAGTTCAGAAAACGTACATGTGGTTTGGGCCGTTTTCATGTAGGGACACGTGTTTCATTTTTTAACACAGTGGGACATGTTTTTATATTCCGTTGTCACAAATGGGGCATGGCGTCTAACGTTGTTAGAAAAATCAACTCCGATTTTTAAAAGTCTTCGAAGAATTAAAAGAAAAATACTGGGAGGTGCGGCTCGTCAAGGAGACCAATAAATTATCGTTCTCTTTGATTTTTTCGGCTCTATTTGGATTATGTTTTAATAAAGAAATCGCTAATATCACGTTTCTAGTGGACTTTCTGGAGACATGGTGGCTGGAAACAAAAAAATGATACGGATGTCTTCTTGATGACACGCATCTCCTAGTATTTTTCTTTTAATTTTTCGGAGACTTTTGAAAATCAGAGTTAATTTTTCTAACGGTGTTAGACGTCATGCCCCAGCTGTGATAACGGAATTGAAACACATGTCTTACTTTGTTAAAAAGTGGAGCACATGCCCCTGTCTGAAAACGGCCCAAATCACAGGTATGTTTTCTATACTTTTCCCTAAAAATAAATACTAATGTTCCTATACGTCTTTTTACATTAAATCAGTTTTTCTTCAGCAGCTAATTTTTCAAACTCTTCGTGACTACAGGATAACATAACTAGCCAATTAAAATAGCTGACACGACCAACTATTGTCAATTCGCTATCGTGATTAACAGCCAATAGCTGATTGCCAAACAAGGTCTTCATTGCTCCCATAAATTGCAACTCCTTGTAATGGGTTGCATTGATTGTTGTAATTTCTTTCAAAATAATACACACTCATTCTAAAATAGTCTCACACTCTCACCTATCATTTTCGTCCGTTCCATTTGGATTATCATATACTAAATTTGATGATGTTTATGTGGTTCTAAATCATTTTTATATTATTCTTATCATATCAATTCAATATTAATCAAAAAAATGGACTCTGGTGGATGCTCGATTGAATTAAATGGAGACTTGTTCGTTGGATGGGGTTGATTTCATCATTTTAATTTGTTTATTTTATTGTTGTTTTCACTTAAGATGTTGAAAATTTTATCTTCACTTTCTATTAAGAAAATTTGACAATATAGTCTCATTTTAATCATATGGTTTTTAAATTTATTTATTTATACTTCATACTGTTTACTGGAATTACTGCCGTTAATATGAAAATCTACAAATGAGTAACTTCACTGTGTAAATTATTTCTTTTTAGTGTAAAAATTCATACTTTTTATGAGAAAATATATACAACACGTTAGTGTGCAACTAGTTAGGATGTTTTTACTTGGACTGTGATTTGCTGGTCTGGTCTGGTCTTGTCTTGTTTCTTTGTATTTTTATAACTATCCAAGTTTGGTCTGGTCTGGTCTGGTCAGGGACGAATTACAGTCCAAGTAAAAATATCCTTAGTGTGATGAATGACCAATAATCTCTAAATATTCAAAATGATTTTAATCGTTCATCACGTCAAAATACTTTGTAGTGACGTGTTAGCGCGCTGCCGCGCTCCATTAATTTTTTCTACTTTTTACTTTGATTGGAAATCTTGATTAGCTTTGTTTAAACTTGATATCTAATTTATTGGTGTTAACCGAGTTTTGTAGTTAATTTTCATTGTAATATATACCTATTATTTAATATGTACTTGGACCCAAGGCCGGCCCCAACATAAAACGCCCTGTTCAAATTGAATTTGAGGCCCAAGTATATAAAACACAATGTTAATAGAAATAATTACATAAATATAATTTAGATCAAAATAAATATGTTGTACAAAAATATGATTAGTTATTAGAGTAGTAATGAAATCATAGTAATTCATGTTCGAGTTTTGAAAATAAATTTCCACAACACTACGTTGTAATAATGAATAGTCATACTTATGTAAATAAGTTTTATTTTGGTAATATTCTTGTAAAAAATCCGAAAGAGTAAAGTAACAATAAGGTAGAAAAGAGAACGTAGTACACACGTTCATCACAAGTTGTATGAGGGCTTTGTGTTAATTACTATAACTAGGTCTGATGTAATAAAGAAATTGCTCAATTGTGATCAACAATTGCAATTTATAACTAGGTATAAATTGCACAATCTTTAATTACTATAACTCTATTGTATAAATTTATACATAATTTAGATATGCATAAAATATGATACTTCGTATTTGATTAGATAAGAAAATTGTTAATTTCTTATGAGATGACAACTTCAACAAAAAATTGGTTTGTCATATGTTTATAAACATGACAAAAAGTTAGAGTTGCGTTATTAAAAAAAACTAAAACCTCGCAAATTTTTCCCATATCTCAGCCGGATTTATAATATAGTTAGCATGTTCTTTCAAAAAAGCAGAAAAAATGAACTTTATATCTAAGATATACAACAATTAAGTTATAAGTAATATTCCAGCGAATAGCCAAATCTTTTGGAATATCACAATAATTCACACGTGTTTTTTGCCATGTCATCAAGCTAGAGGCGCCATGTCACTTACTTGCCACGTCACACACCATGTCATCACATTTAAGGGTTTCTCAAAATACTCCTTAACATAAAAAAAAATTAGATCCTACAAGGGATTGAACCCGCGACCTCGCAGATGCAAGGCAACTCTCTCCCCAATGGAAGGCAATGGACTGCTACGCTTCCTTGTTACATGGGACATTCTACTCAAATTTTAATCGCATCTCCTTCTCGTTTCTTTAGTGATACCTGCCCCAAAAATGAAAACTTCTTTAAAATTTATAATTAAAAACTTAATTTGCGATATGTAACTAAAAAACAAATTTAAAATAACTCAAAACCAAATAAAATAAAAACAAGTAAACCTCTTGAAAAAATAGATTTTCTGTTTTCAAAATTAATAATATTACATTTGAAAATGAAAATGATAAATAAATAAATGTGAACAGTGTAAAAGTCAAAATATTGCATTTATTTAAGAACGGAGGAAGTATGTATTTTTATATTTACACACACATATATAATCTTTTTAATGAAGTTTACTTATTATCGTATTTATTTAGTTTTGAGTTATTTTAAATTATCTTTTAGTTACATAGCACAATTATTTTATATAATAAGTTAATTTGCAATATGTAACTAAACAATAATTTAAATTACCTTAGAACTAAATAAATAAGTAAACTTCTTGAAAAAAATTCTATTTCCAAAATTAATAATTTTATATTTGAAAATGAAAATGTTAAAAAAATAGTGCATAATATGTGTCTTGATATGTACACACATACATATATTACTAATCTGTTGAGGTGCGCCTGAATCTGTCATGAAAAAATTCAATCTGAAATCCAGTTAATATTATTAATTTTGAAAATGGAAAATTTATTTTTTCGATAAGTTTACTTATTCTTATTTTATTTGGTTTTGAGTTATTTTAAATTAGTTTTTAGTTACATATTGCAAATTAAGTTATTTATTATAAACTTTAATTACCTTTTCATCTTTTTAATTGAATATCTCAAATTATGATTTTAATTATATTTTAGTTGTTTGGGGCACCAAGTATATCACTCAAGAAACAAGAGGCATATCTTATTCAAATATAATTAGATGAAACTGTGGTTAAACAAGGAGTAATAGTTCAATGGTTTGCTTGGGTTTGGGAGATTCCCATTAGTTTTGAGGTACGGGGTTCAATCCCCGATTTTGACTCCTTTTTTTATAAGGAGTATTTCACAACACAATGTGATTACATGGGGTGTGTGACGTGGCGAGTAAGTGACATGGCGCCTCTAGCTTGATGACATGGCAAAAAACACCCTTATTTGGGAATTAAGTTTAAAAGTACCCTATTATGGGAAATAAGATTACAAAATACCCCTCTTGGGGAAAAAACTCCACAATGCTGATGAAAAAACCTATTCATCAAAGTAGGACCACACAATCCACGTAATCTAGGTATAACATCAGTGTTATTATTAGCATTATCAAAACCCATAGCAAAAAACTTTATCAATCAAATTATATTCAGTTAAAATACGCTCGATGAGAATATAACCTAAATATTATCATCGGTGTGTCGGTCATTAAATTCTCGAAAAGCGATAAGTTTCCTCCCATATATTACTACAAATACTAACACGTCCATCAAAGTTGGCGAAAAACATTTTTATCTATCCTTTTCCAAAATGTATTGCCTTATAACTTCTTTTCCAATCGTTCTGCGACTATAGTTTCGAAATTGGGGATTTAAAGAATCTTGAGCATAAACTTTTAAAGCAAGACTTTCAGAAAAAATAAAAGACAAATTTTCTTCAACAATTAGTTTAGATATAGCAGTTAAATGTTTGAAAATTATCATAGGAGACATTACCATAGGGTTGTCCAGTTGCAAACCTCGATATTTGTGTTTGCGTCCCCTTGCCTTTTAATTTTGCATACTCCACGGGGTGTTTTCCCTTCAAATCCCTATGAGGCTATCAACGCCGCTGTATCCTTGCGAAAGCCCCAAGCTTATATTTTTGAAACAATGGTCGCTAGTTGTCCACCACTTCTCGCTATCTGTTTTCTTTCATTTTGTGTAATTTTTTTTTCATAAGATGAGATTCACCTTTCTTACCAGGTTGGGATGAAGCAGGCTCGTCCTCGTCGGGTGTTTCCTCGTCGCCTTGTTCCTCTTCAACTGTCGCCGGCTCCTCCTCTTTGGCATCATCATCCTCCATCTCTTCGTCATTCTTGGGAAGTTGTTGTTGTTGGTAAAACCGCCCATCCCGTTGGGCCAATGGTTGTTGTAATTGCGCGTCAGACATCGCATTTCTCCGGTCGTAATTCGTTTCAAAATCATCTCGGCTTTGAGTACAAAAAAAACTTATTTGTGAGTACAATTAAAATGTGACTATTATATTAAAATGTAAGTAATATGATAATTTAATAAAAATATGACTTTTATATCAAAATGTGACTAGTCTACAAGTCTATAAAATATTGAATCGCAAGTACAAATAAAATCCAACTACTTAAATAGTTTAATCTAACGAGTGTAGTAAAATTAACTAAAATGCAACTACTTTAAGTTTTTAATCTAAATATGGTTAATTAATATGATAATGTGACAAATATAGTAAAATTAACTAAAAATGCAACTCCTTTAATATTTTAATCTAACAAACTTTATATTAGAAAACTAGTCACATTGTAGATTTCGTCCAACACAGTGCGGCATGTTCGTTGGGAACTTGGCGTGCGTCCGAGTCCAAGCCCAAGTACACAGGAGAGGACAAATGTTGCTGAAAAATAATGGACAATGGTGGAGGCGGCATGAGCAATGAGCGTACAGGGAACAATGAAGGGAAGATCGATGGGGAAGTCAGACCGACAGGTCGCTCCCCTCTTGAACCGCCGTCTGGGTCACATTTGCAAGACTAGTCGTTAAAGTACTATATTTTTTATTTTTGGCTTTTCATTTAATTCATATGGTAAGGATTGTAGTTGGTTTTTTCTGCTGGATTTGTTTTGCTCAGGGCGACTCATTTTTTGTTTTCTATGTGGTACTGAATCAGAGTCGGGAGAGGATAATTGACAAGGAATCTGGATAATTGACACGACCTCTTTCTCTGGTGCACTGCACTCCCACGTGAGTCCCTATATAGTACACCCGGGTGTACGTACATCCGGCCCAATTATTAAATTTGACTGGTGGGCTTACATCTTGTTCCAGCGAAAAAAATTAAAATCCCCAGCGGGATTCGATCCCCAGACCCGAAGTAGGGTATGGGCCTTCCAACCATCTCACTGACTTGTCTTGTTGAGATAATCAGTTCTTTTATCTTACTTATCCTATATAGTTTCATACTGCCTATTATTAATAGTAATTATAATATTAACTATTCTTTTGTTTTTACTCATTATTACTATATTAAAAGACTAATTCATATTTTTGAAGTATTTATTTGATCTATGAATCATACTATTACTTTATATAAATATATTTATACTTTTTTTATATAGTGTTAGGTTCCTAATAAGCCGGATGCTCATCAAAAGTGTTTTAATGCTCATAATAGGTCTGATGAACATTAAAAGTTCATTAATGCTCATTTAACAGAAACTGTGATTTTTTCATCTCATTGATATGACATTGTAAAAATGAGCATAACATGAGTACCAAATGAACATACATAACTTACAAAGTGCACATTGATATGAAAATCGTAAGGTTTGTTAGTTGAACATCATGACATTTTAATTGAGCATCCAACCTCCACTATTGAGATGAAAATCACGACTTCTGGAGAATGAGTAATAATGAACTTTTAATGAGCACCAGACATATTTTGTTGAGCATACTGAATACACAAATTGGTATTTAAGCATACTCGAGATTTTAATGAGCTTTTAAAATTTTTCTATGCTCATTTCGTAAATTAGCTATGCTCATTTGATATTGGTGTAATGTTCATTTTAAAATGAGCACTACACGAGACAACTTAAATGTCATATCCATGCATATTGGCGCAATGCTCATTTTGAACTTTTTAATACTCATTTCACGCGTTATGTATTCACATTTAATATTTGAGCATCAAACATCCGCTATTGAGATGAAATTCATGGTTTCTAGTGAATGAGCAATAATAAACGTTTAATGAGCATCGTACCCATTCTATTGAGTATTAGGAGTCTAATATTGAGAATCGTGATCTCCGCTTCATAACTTCTAATTCACTTTCTTTTTGTTATTTTTTCTTTTATAAAATCTTATTAAACTATATTTATAATCAACTCCTGTGAATTTCAATATGTTAATTAATGTAAAATAGTACTTTAAAAAATGCATCGATATGACATTTAGAAAATGAGCATAAGATCTCTACCAGATGAGCATACGTAACTTACAAAATGAATATTAATGAATTTGTTAGCTGCTTTGTTATTTGAACATCACGACATTTTCATTGAGCATCAAACATCCTCTATTGAGATTGATGAAAATCACGATTTCTGTAAAATGAGCATTAATGAGGATTCGACCTATACAAATGAGCATATGTAACTTACAAGATGAGCATCGATATGAAAATTGTAAGTTTTGTTCGTTGAACATTTTACATATGAGCATAAAATTAGTACCAAATGAGCATGTGTAGCTTAATTGGACATCACGATATTTTCATTGAGCATCAAACCTCCTATATTGAGATGAAAATAATGATTTGTATTAAATGAGCATTAATGAATTTTTAATGAACATCAGACCTATACAAATGAGCATATGTAACTTACAAGATGAGCATTGATATGGAAAGTGTAAGTTTTATTCGTTTTGAGTAATAGGAGCCTAAAAATGAGTATCGTGAAATCTGCTTCAAATCTTCTAATGTAATTTTTTTTATTTGTTTAAAAAAGATTTCTGAAATTATGTCTATAATCGATTTCAATTAAAAACAATATGCGAATTTAATGTAGTATAATAATTTTAAAATATGCATTATTGATATGGCATTTTAAAATGAGCATACCATTACTACAAAATGAGCATACATAACTTACGTAATGAGTATCAAAAAATTTAAAAACGCATTTTTGTTTGCTTATTCATTTTGGACGTTATACTCATTTGAAATATACATTAATATGACATTTTCAAATGAGCATAATATCAATTTCAATGAGCATACATAATTTGTAAAATGAGTATCGAAAAATTCAAAAACTCATTTGAAATCTTAATGTGCTCAAATATCATTTGTATATGATCATTTGTTTTCAAAATGAAAAAGAATACGATCTGAACCTATACACAACGTAACCTTAGTGATTTCTCAAATCCAATTTAATCAACACTACACCATTAATTGTTTAACCTTATCCAGCCAGCCCACTAAGTGTAATTTTATTCCTGGCCTTCCACCCACGGATGACGACAAAGATAACTCTCCACCCCAACATCTTACACAATACACACCACCCAGAGGTCAACATCTCCACCCAGAAGACCAGAAAGCCAACAACAACGCCGGAATTTACTACGGACAGGCTCAAGGTCTACGCTACGTACGACGACCAACAAATACATACTACCGCCGATCTGGACCGATTCCGTCTCTGCTTTCTCATCCCTTCTCCATCCCTAATCTTTACCACCAGATTTGTAATTAATTGCAAAAATACCCGGATGTACGGTGAGGACCGTACATCCGGGTGTACGGTATAATTTGCGCTCCCACGTGCTCTTTTAAATTTTACATAATGTTGGCTAGGCCCTAGGCCGTGAATTCAGTTTGGCCGCTCTCCAACCATCCAACTAGAGTTAACCATAGCAGTACTTAGGGAAATAATATTAACCATACACCAATTTGGTAAATACTTACTTTTTTATTTAGCATTATTTTGAGAAAAACTCCATTATATAGACTATATTAAAATTTTGGATCTCCACCTCTCCGGAATTGAAAGGTCTTCTTGAACATCCTATCTATCACCTTCCTTGCACCTGGACTAGGGAGTACCATTCTCCATTTTTTTCAGCAATTACCTTGATAAACATTTTCCCAGTTTTTTATTCTTGTTTTATACATGAACACAGGGAAATGCCAATAGTTCAAATGAAGGCAGATCCAACGAGAGAATTACGGTAGTACAAAAAAAAATGACCGAATTACATAGTGCGAGAAAAAACAGACAATTCAATGCTTTGGCTCGGCTACACCAAACTTCTCGTGAAGGCTCTGCAAATTACTGACAATGGCTAACGTGTTGCTCATGTATTCATTCGATCTCTGCACCATCGCTTTCACCTCATCCGTCACCGTCGATTGCATCTCCTCCAATCCATCGGTACACGTGTCCTCATCCGTCATCCCCGCGCTTATCCACGTCCTCATGTTACCGATTTCCGTCGGCGCCAGGACGATCTCACCTCGATCCGCGTTGATTAGCGCCGCCGACTCGTTGAGTTGACTCAGCGCGTTGTTGAACAGGCTCTCGCAGTCCTGCAGAGCCGATTGGCCGCCACGGTCGTTGACCTTCGGGATCAGAGACTTGGGAAGAGAGGTCAAATTAACCAATTCGTTGATGGCGATCCAGAGAGAAACGTTCAGGAAGTGCTCCGGGCTAGGTTTAGGCGGGGAGGGGAATGCAGACATGGAATCGAAGCAGGAGTGCGGGTGCTGAGTCACAGCGCAGACGGTGCTGAGAAAGCCGATCGAGGTGGAGGAAACCGGCAACGATGATGACGGAGAAGACTGATGCGAGTGGTTTTCATGGTGGATCAGCGCGACGAACACCGCGCCGACGATTAGGGTGACGAACACGGCGGCGACAGAGATGGCTGTGGCGAGGCGGCGTTTCCGTGCGGCCCTAAGCTTCGTGAAAGACGCCTGATCTTCTTCTGGATCTACTAGTACGCCATAGTCCTTGAATTTTACAGTTCCCATAAAGTTTTTGGGTTTTTTGGACGTTAGCGCTTAAGCTTGGGGACGGAGGACTCTGAGGAAAATTAAGGCAGGCGATGAACTCAAACAGAGACGACCCGAATAGTCATACAGCCAAATTATATTCTACGCAATTGCTTTTCTTAGTTGGACATTCATTTTATAAAAATTTATAATTATATAATCTTTTTTATATTTTACAAATAGCCACTTAAACGTGTATATATTGATTTTAATGTAATACCAATCGACCAAAAGTGAAATTGAGATCTTTATACATTAAAAAAGAAAAAAAAAAACTTATACATTAAAAGGAAAACTTATACATTAAAAAAAGAAAGAAAACTTATAAAAAGGCGGGAGTCTTGGGACTTATAAAATCTTTCAGTCATGTTCGCAACGAGTAAAAGATCATTAACTATGGTCCCAAGACTCCCGCCAAAAAAGATTTTCAGAATCTTTTGCGAACACGGCGGCAACAGAGATGGCAGTGGCGAGGCGACGTTTCCGAGCGAACCTGCGCTTCGTGAAAGACGCCTGATCTTCTTCTGGATCTACTAGTACGCCACTGCCATCTCTGTCCCGCCAAAATCTTTCAGTCGTATAAAATCTTTCAGTCGCTGTCTCGACGATAGTCACAATGCCCGATTATTAAGGCCTATTCGGAATGAGGAAGTAAAGGAGGCCCTTTTGCAATGTATCCAGATAAATCGCCAGGGCCTGACGGCATGAGCTCAGATTTCTTCCAACATTTTTGGGAGGTCACCGGACCGGACATTATTGAATTCTGCAGGTCGGTTTTCTCGTCATGCATGTAAACTCCCGGGGGGTATTAATGACAGAAATATTGTTCTCATTCATAAAAAGGAGCAGCCGGAAAATGTGGTGTACAAAGTGTTTGCTAAACAACTGGCAAACCGCATGAAAGGCTTATTGAATTTCTGCGTTTCTGAACAACAAAGTGTATTTATTCCTGATAGGTCTATTGTAGATAACATCATGATTGCTTTTGAGACCCATCACTTTTTGAAACGCAAGCGACAAGGGAAAATTGGTTATGCCGCATTAAATCTCGACATGAGCAAAGCTTATGACCGGGTTGAATGGGCTTTTGTGGAGGACACGCTTCGACAGATGGGCTTTGCGGAGAAATGGATTCAATTGGTCATGGAGTGTGTGAGTTCGGTCACTTACTCCATCCCTTTTGATAATGGGGAGATTGGGCCCATCTATCCTGCAAGGGGATTACGGCAAGGAGACCCGCTCTCTCCATATCTCTTCATCCTGGTGGCAGAGGGACTTAGTGCTCTTTTACGAAGACAGGAGCAATTGGGGCGTATGCATGGAGCTTCAGTGGCCAGGAATGCCCCGCGGATTTCACACATCTTATTTGTCGATGACAGCTTACTTTTTTTCCAAGCTAATCACAGCGAGGCGGCAGCTATCAAGAAGAATCTGGAAGACTATGAGGTGGCTTCAGGTCAGATTGTTAATTTTCACAAGTCTAAATTATTTTTCAGTGCCAATGTGTCTGAGGAGTGTAAAATTGGTTTGACCGAGATGCTTGGCGTTAATTTAGCTGGTATGGAGGAAAAATATTTAGGGTTGCCGGCCTAGGTGGGGAAAGGGAAGAAGGAAATCTTGAATTATTTAAAACAAAAGGTGATTAATCGTCTGCATAGCTGGAATAATAAATTTCTTTCTAGGGTGGGAAGAGAAATTCTTTTAAAAACTGTCATTCATGCTATGCCCACCTATGCAATGAATGTTTTCCTTCTGCCTAATGAGTTGTGTCGAGAATTAGAGGTACTCATGAACAGTTACTGGTAGACCAATGCAAATGGAAAAGGAATTAGATGGCATGACTGGAAGTGGTTGAGTAGACCAAAAAAGTTGGGAGGGTTGGGATTTCGAAATCTGAGAGACTTTAATATTTACATGCTCGCCAAACAGGCCTCGAGATTATTTTGTGAGCCAAATTCCCTAGCTGGAAAAGTATTTAAAGCTCGGTATTATCCCACAGGTAATTTTGTGACTGCTAATTTGGGGAACAACCCTTCTTTTATTTGGAGAAGCATCTTTGAAACTCATAGCATTATTCGAGAGGGGTACAGATGGCAAGTGGGGGGCGGAAAGGCTATTAAAATTTGGAATGATCCGTGGCTACCGGATGTAGATAATCCGAAGATTTCTTCAGAGGTCTATGCAGGATTGGAAGACGCTGTGGTGGAAGGACTGATTGTGCGCCAGGTACAAACTTGGGATGAGGATATTCTTGGGGATCTGTTCAATGATAGGGATAAAGAGTTGATACGAAGCATCCCGTTAAGCTCACGAGAGGTACCAGACAGGAGGGTGTGGCGGTGGGAGGCTAGTGGTAGGTTTTTGATTCGAAGTTGTTACCGCTACCTTACAGGCAAAGTTCACGCGGTTGATTGGACAGGTTGGACGATGATGTGGAATTGGAAGTTGCCAGCTAAAATTAAATCTTTTTTCTGGCAACTGTGTTTGGATTGCTTACCTACTACAAAGAACCTGCGTAAAAGGATGGTGAACTGTCCGGACATCTGTGGATTATGTGGTATAGCTGATGAGTCGACATTACACCTATTTGTTCATTGTCCGGTGGCGGTGGATGGCTGAAAAGCTTTGGGTTGGGATTTCAGGGGAACGATGGCAGCCACCTTTATACAATGGCTAGAAGGAGTTTTTCAAGCTAAAAGGAATTCTGACCTGGTGAAGGTTGTGTGGGGCTGTTGGGGCTTGTGGAGAGAGAGGAATGGCCGGGTTTGGCAAGGGAAAAGCTTGAATGCGGTCCAAGTAATGAAAGATGCTGGAGATTTTGTTGATGACTGGTTAAATGTGCAGAAGAACGGACAAGTTGGGGCGCAGCAATTGAGTGCCCATGGATGGTGTAAACCAAGGTCGGGATGGTATAAATTGAATGTGGATGCAGCTTGTAATCAAAGTGGTAGCTGGTTGGGCTGGGTTCTTCGTAACCATAATGGGAACTTTGTTGGAGGTGGAGTTAAGAGGGGTTGGGGAAATTGCTTCCTGTTCGAAGCAGAATTACTAAGCATTAGAGAAGCTCTGAGTTGGACCAAAGATCAAGGGTGGGACTTCGTGGAAGTGGAATCTGATGCCCTACTTGCTATTTCGGAGATTAAAAACGGTTCCAGTCTTACGGCTATTGGTATTTTGGCTGAAGATATTAGGCTTATTATCAACAATTTTGCTAATATTTCCTTATATTTTGTTGAACGATTAGCAAACACAGATGCTTTTGCATTAGCTAAAGCAGCTAGTTCTATGTCTTATTGTGTTAGTTGGATGGATTCTCCCCCTAGTTGTATTGTTGCTGCTTTGGCTTTTGATTTGATTAATGCTAATTAAGTTGTTTTCCTTGAAAAAAAAAAAGAAAACGGGGGTAAACGGGGAATATAGAGGATGAAATGTTCCCAGTGAGGTTTGGAAAGGAACCTCATCTGGCCTTCGGCGTTTGAGGCGGTTTCCAGTGATATTTTTTGCTGAAATGTTTTTTTTGTAAATTATTCATCAAATCTAGTTTATTCAAATCAAATTTCAACTAAAAATTCAATCAGAAAGGCAGTCAAATGATTTTTGGAAGATAACTGTGTTTTATATGTATATAAAGGGCGCAGTTAACTTTCAAAAATTAGTTGACTGTCTTCCCTATTGAATTTTTAGCTAAAATTTAGAATGAATAAACTAGACTTGATGAAAAATGTGCACAAAAATTTTCAGCAAAAAATACCACCGAGAACCACCCCGGAAATTCTAGATGACGAAGCGCACAATGGACAATCATGTGTGTGCACATCAGCAGGTCATCACCCGACATAACAAGTAACATGCTAATTGACTCAATTTAGCGTTCTTTCAAAGTTTGGGGATTTGATTGATTTTTTTAAGTATGAGAACTTAATTGACATTTTCGTGATAGTAGGAGGATCAAATTGATAGTTTTCCCTAACATATTTGATGCATTGTAAAAGGTTTAACATATACCAAGTACATCAAATCTTTAAAATGTATTCAAATATTAGAGAAGTGTTGAGAAGTGAAGCTTTAATGAAATGTGTATATCATATTCCTTTACTTGTACATAGAATGTGTATGCACAGGTGGAGGAGTATAATGTGGTTACTTCTACGCAAGGCATCAAACAGTTAAAGGTCCCTAAACGTAATAAATGACTTCCACCGGACCCAAATTCTTTCCAGCTTAATTGTGACGGATCTAGTTGGGGTTCAGGAAGGGAGGCAGGGCCAGGGCCAGGTAGAGTGATTCAAAATCACAAAGCAGAGTGGATCCTTGGCTTCACTATTAATATCGGAAAAGCTGATAGCTTTAAAGTAGAACTTTGGGGTTTACGACAGGGCTTGCTGCTTGCTCGTGAACTGGACTTGAAGCAGGTCATAGTGGAGATTGATTCAGAAGGTGTGATGAAGGCAATCAAGAACGTACATAACAAGCATGGTGCTCACATTGGAGTCCTAATTCGTGGTTGTCAAAAATTACTTGGAGACAGACGATTTATTCAAATTAAGCACATCTTTCGAGAAGGTAATAAATGTGCTGATAGACTTGCGGATGCAGCCCACGAAGCTCCTAAGGGTCTTACAGTGTTACATTCAGCTCCAGTCTTGGTCAAACAAATTCTTTGGGAGGATGCTAATGGGCTCAAGTCTCTTAGAGTTTAATTAATCTTGTTGGTGCTTCTCTTTTTGTTTTATTTTTGTTCCGATGTATAAAAAACATAGAAGATAGTTCATAATAAACTTCGAGTCCGTTTGGTGCCTTTGTTTTTTCGACTTATCAGGTTTATCAGACAACTTTTTAACCAAACACGTAACTTTTGATTTCGCTCGCTGAATTATGTAATAATAAGAAAAAGTAAAGTTGGAGTTACTTTTTTGGCTATATTGGCTGAAGTTAATGTAGATGACCATTTTACGTATTTTTCAATTAATTTTTCCTTGATTTTATTAATAGAAATTGTTTTAAATACTCCCTCCGTATTTTTTTGTTTGCTAAAATAGGTGTTGGCACATTTTTTAAGAGTGAAATAGTAGGAGAGATGGTGGAAAAGTATGACAGAGAAGATAAAAAGTAGAAAAA